GTTCCAGTAGTGAAAAAGTTGGACCAGACATGGATTTACTCTGATTCCTTCCTGCCAAACCATCTTTCATCCTGGTCTCTTCTGCACAGGCCCATCCTCAGCAGCAGAAAGGCTGGATTTCTCTGCTGGGTTTGGTTTGTATCAGGCAGGACCTTCGTGCTGATGCTTTTGCCCGACCTGCTTCATCCTGGTCACACAGTTCTTAAGGTTATTCCCTTCTCTTCCAAGATGTTTGAACTCTACCTGTTTCTTTGTCTCAGTTCAAGTCCAGGTCCCCCAGGAGGCATTAGAGAGGCAGCAGAGCTAAGTGTGAAATGCTGGCCATGATTTCTAAAGTGAGCCGTGGTTTCACTGCAGCATCACACGTTGGATTTTCATTCCCAGTGTTGCCTTCCCGAGCTCCCCATGCAGAGCTGGGGATTACAGGCATTTCTCACGTGGGCTGGGGGAGTGCCTGGGATCAGATCCCTCTCAGAGGATTCAGTGCCTTGAGCTCAGTGCCAGCGACAGTGAGGGGGGTTTGGAGAACAGGTCAGACACTGGATTGAGTGGGGGTGGAGGTGCTACCTGGGGCATGGAACCCCCTTTTCCCTCACCTTTCTCTATCTCTGGTCACCCCTTTCCCTCTCACCTTTCCCTGTTTCCATGTTGTGATGGCTGCTCCTACATAGCAGAGCAGCTTCTTCCAGGTATGGGATGAGGCTGGTGAGTGCCTTCCCTGCAACCCAGACATGCTCATTACCTGCTGCTGAGGAATTAATTACTTCATGGCTTTACTCATCTGTTCCTCATATTTCTGTTCCTTCCAGCAGTTTCCAGACATTTGGGTGAGATTCCTTCACACCGGAAAGCTTTTCTTTAATTTGGTGGTGTTAAAATAGTCATAGAATCCTAGACTGGTTTGGGTTGGAAAGGACCTGAAAGTGTGTCTCATTCCACCCCCTTGCCATGGGCAGGAACACCTTCCACTAGCCCAGGTTGCTCCAAGCCCTGTCCAACCTGGCCTTGGACACTTCCAGGGATGGGGCAGCCACAGCTTCTCTGGGCAACCTGTGCCAGGGCCTCCCCACCCTCACAGGGACGGATTTCTTACCAGTATCTCATCTAATCAAATGTGTAACTGCAGGGAAATACAAAGTATGTCATAAAGGGGAGAAAAGATGGAAAAGGTGAATGAAACAGGGGTGATTTGGAGCATGTGAAAAACATTTTTTTAAATTAAAACCTTGGCTTTTTTCTCACTGCTGAGCAGGATGGTGGCTCAGGATGGTGGCTCAGGCTGGGCCATCACTGGTGCTGAATCCTGATCCGCTCCTGGGTGGGTGGCTGTGCTGTGGTTTGGTGGGACTGGCTGGGAGCAGCCAGAGGCTGTTGCCTGGAGGAGACTCAGGGGTGACCATGTCACTCTCTAGAACTACTTGAAATGAAGTTGTAGGTGGGGGTCAGGCTCTTCTCTCAGGGAACAAGGGACAGGACAAGAGGGAACATTGCCTGGGACTGCAGGTGCCTGGGCGGCCCCTTGGCTGGGTCCCTCACTCTCCATGGGGAAGAATTTGTTGAGCTGGGGGAGCAGCTCTGGGGATGGAGCTGTGCCCAGTGGGATCCTTCTGCTCCACCCCTGAATATGCCCAGCCGTGGCTGAGGTGGGGCTGGGCAGAGTGGCCAAGGGGACCAGCAGCTGAGGGGGAGTCTGTGGAGACCCTGAACCCTCTGCATTCCACCATCCTACGTGACAATGAACACTGTCTCATCAGGGATGCAAATCAGGGCACTGTTTCACTTGCAAGAGGATCTTTAGCTTTCTGAACCTTTCACTCCTGTGCCTTTGTCCTCCCTTGTCCTTGTGGTGTCCTTGCAGTTAAAGGAGATGTGGGTTGCTCTGTGTTAGTAAAACGCAGGAAAATGAACTGAAATAATCTCAAAAAGGGGCAGATGTTCTCTGAACACTTGGTTTGCTCGTCAGGCCTCCCTGACTCTGCAGTAATCCAAAACTTCATAGGGAAGAGCACTCTTATCTTCCCTCCCACTCCACAGGATTGTTTTAGAGTAAAATTTGCCTAAATTTAATCCTAAAACACTCAGAGTGTGGCTTCATATTGGGGTGTAATTCCAGCCCAGGTTATGTTCAGTTCAGGCCAGAAGCTGATATTGCATTGTGACATTCAACTCAATCCAGAGTTTATTTGTATTCCAAAACCATCTATTGCAAAGGCTGCTCTTTATGAGCTCAAAGAGCTATAAAGCATAAATATTTATTCCTTAAAGGTTAAGATTGCCTTAAATCATTCCAGCTTATTTGGTGAGCAGCACTTATAATTAAAATAAGCAGTTGAACTCGATCTGCATGTATGAAATAAGTATATATATGTATATGGATGTATATACTTGACTGTGATGCGGGTGGAAGCTGTGGGATAATTGCTTCCATCACATCAAAAGATGCACTGATATTGTGTTTGGATTTGGTAATAAATCAACATAAAGAAGCAGCTGAAATTATATAATGGCAAGTCACATTTCAACAGGCAGCATAAACCGTGGTAGGAGAATGAGCAGAGCTCAGCTCAAATGTGTGTGTGGAATTACAGGGAGATAATTATGCATGTTATGAAAATTATTCCAATTTTGGGTGTAGAGAATTCATAGAATCCCAGACTGGTTTGGGCTGGAAGGCACCTTAAAGCTCGTCCAGTGCCACCTCCTGCCATGGGCAGGGACACCTTCCACTATCCTAGGTTGCTCCAAGCCCTGTCCAGCCTGGCCTTGGACACTTCCAGGGATGGGGCAGCCACAGCTGCATAACCTTTTCCAAGGATATTGTTGTAGATAACAGGTCATTCATGTGCACAAACCCCACCAGCACGAGATGGTGAAATTCTATTTTAATCTGACTCTGGTACTTCCGAAATCAACAGGATTAGAGCCTCCTTCTTGTTGTCATTAAAATTAATTTGAAAAGCCGAAGAAACCCCAAACCCTCTTGCTCTATAAAATATTATTCCTGGAATTAATTGTGTAGGAGTGTACATCTAAGGTGCGGATGGAAAGGGTCTCCAAGGATGTGGAAACCAGAATTTCCATGTGTTCACGTGTGTGTCCTGCTCAGGGGCTACTGGGGCTCTGCTGTTGTGCTGTGTAATTAGAGGCACCTTTGACTCCAGAGTTGGAATTGCTGGCTCCTCAGCGTTCCCTGATATCCAGAGAGCTCATGAAAGGTAATGGTTTTGCCAGGGGCTTTGACAGAAGCAGAACTAAGGAACTGTCATTGCCTGAGGTCTGAACATGGGCTCGAGCTGGAAAATGGTTCAGTTCTTGTTAGAGGTGGCCGAGGTACAAGTGCCTCCAGTCACACTGTGGTGCTGTAGGGAGCACAACAAACATCCCACTGACCTGCTCCTCTTCCCTAAATGCTTTATTTACCATTCTTTCTTCCAAGCAAGTCTGGATTCCATTTATCACAGCACTGTCCAGGGGAATTTCTTTATTGTGCTGTCGATCGTGTCTTGCAAGGATTTCTTTATCCTGACTTGATGTTGGGGGAAAAAAGAAGGGAAATAATGAAATGTTTCATTTCCTGATGTTTATCCTGCAGCTCCCCCTATCCCAAGGAAGTCCTGCAGGTCTCCCCTGGGAGGGTGGGGAGGCCCTGGCACAGGTTGCTCAGAGAAGCTGTGGCTACCCTATCCCTGGGAGCTTCCAAGGCCAGGTTGGCCGGGGCTTGGAGCAACCTGGGCTAGTGGAAGGTGTCCCTGACCATGGAAGAGCTTGCAAGTACCTCGTCTCTAAGGCCCTCTTAAATACAAACCAGTTTGGGATTCCATAGTTCTGTGTTGGTGAGAGTTGTGTTTAATGTTGTGCTTTGGCACCTGGGATTTTAGAAACACAAATCATTGAAGGGGTTTGAAGTGTTTGAGTTTTTATGAGTGGAGGTTTCAGAAATTATCCATATAATTCCTAAATGCAGAGAAGTTGGGATGAGAACTATTTGATAGCCCATGAAGAGTTAGTGAAATGAAGGGTCAGTAAATCTGGCAGCTTGGACTGTGCTTGGGAAATACATTCTTCCCAGAGCCTGCCTTAAAGTAAGGGTATGTCTGCACTGATAGTTCAGTTTGGAAGTGGTGGATAGTGCTATGGAACTATCTAATGGGACATGGAACTGCTAATGGGACACCTGAACTTACAGCTGAGAGGAGATGAGGTTGTGTGGGGGTTTTACATGGGATTCTCGGTTTCGGGAAAATGGTTTTGTGTGTAATTAAGGGGAAATTAATACCCCAGGTTTGACCTTAAATTTGGCAACAGCCATGAATTCTCCAGGACTGAGTAGCCTGATTTAATTAGAACAGTTCTATCAGCAAACCTGGGTTACTGATTTACCATGAATAATGTACATGAGCACATTAGTGATTTTCTGCTTTGGGCCCTGTCTGAGCAGACTGTGGTTCCCTGGATAAAGCTGCAGTTTTAAATTATTGGCAAAATCATTTCCTATGGATAGAGTGGGACACAAAGAGTCTGTGAAGAGTAACAGTAGAAACCAGAGATGTGTTATTTAAAATAAGAAAACTGGTCTTGCTGTAATCTGCTCTGAAGGCATTAATCTATCCATGCAAATTCTTATATTGAGGGCCATGTTTTCTTTCATTAATTTCAAATTTCTGGCAATGCTTGTTGTTTGAGAACTGGTGAGCAGGCTGGAGCAGGAATTGAGCTAAACATAAACCCTCTTGTTTTAACCATGCAAGTGGGTGTAGGGGGAAGTGTTCAGCAGGAGATTAATTCGTAGAATCATTGAGGTTGGAAAGGCTCTCTAAGGTCTCCACGTGCCATGGGGGGACCACCGGTGCAGCACCCCCGTGTTCACCACCAGCCCGTGGCCTCATGTGCTGAAAGAAATGTTCTGGGAAATACAACTGGGAAACAAACTGAGGTGTTTTTTTTTAAAGGCGTTTTTTTTTTACAGGTTAAGCATGGGTTTCCTTATGGTTTGCACACAGGTTCTGGCTCCAGGCTGGATGCCCACGTGGGTCCCTTGATGCCAGCTCAAGTCACCCGCGTCACCGCGGTGTCCGCGCCGGCTGTGACGTTCATGGCCACCAACCTCATGGACCAGGCACTGACAGGTGGGTTGTGTTTCCATGTCCTGGAATGGTGGCTGAAGCACATGGTGTGTATTTGTGTCCTCCCAACCTACCTGTGCTGCGCAGGGATGGGGGCCCTCAATGAATCTCCTCCAGTTTGATGGCATTTGCTTTGGTTAATTTTGGAGTGTACTCTGTGTGTTTTGGGTCGTGTTTCCTCACTCCAGCAATTGGCTGTAGCTTTGAATATGCTGATACACATCTTGGGCTTTCCCTGTCCTGCACTGGTGGTTTCCACAGCCCTGCAGTGACAATGTGCTCATTTTTGGGGTAATTGCTCCACGAGGCATCGTTGGCCAAACCCTCCAAGGGCTCTTTGTGCTGCACCGTGTGATAAACCAGGTTTATTTACTGCCATTTAAATGTGTGTGTGTTGTGAGAGAAGAGGCAGTGCTGTCTGCAAAGGCTGGAGGAAGTCTCATGGCTTTGTTCAGATTCATGTACACTCAAATCACCATCAGATTTTGCCAGGAAATTGGGAAAATCATTCCTAACAACGGGACATTCCTCTCGCAGTGCTGTCGGTGTGAAGGCTGGAGCTCTGTTACTGCAGGGGAGGTGCTGCAATGGGGTTGAAGAGGTGATTCCTCTGCCTGAGCTGGGGCCACGCAGCCACAGAGGAGGATCCAGCCACACTTGCTAGCTTTGTGGCACCGCAGGGCCATGAGTGCACCTTCCCAGCCCTCTTCCATGGAAAAAACAAATGAGTGTTTACCAGAAATTACTCTAGGGATCAGTTCAGGAATAACTTATCTGATCGTTCACCCCTAAGGATTAGACTTTGTTGTCCAAAGAGGTTGTGACTCCCCATCCCTGGAAGTGTTCAAAGCCAGGTTGGACGGGGCTTGGAGCAACCTGGGATAGTGGAAGGTGTCCCTGCCCATGGCAGGGGATGGGACTGGATGGGCTTTGAGGTCCCTCCCAACTCAAACTCTGTGATTTTATGATTTTCAGGGCAGTGACAAACAGCACCTCTTGGGCAGTGCTGGGTCTGTGCCTGGAAAATCCAACCATGAAATGAGTTTGTCCTTGAACTCCACACCAACAAAGAATTTGTCCTTGTTATTGTACTGTTCCCATTACAAATCTCCAGAACAATAAAGGGGAGGGTGAGAAATGATTGCTGCAGGATGGAGAAAAGCTCAGCTCGAAGAGACTTGTTCTAAGAGGGGAAAGGAGTGTTTGTAGGGCACAGCAAAACTGGTGAGAGCAGCAAACAGACACCAGTGACAGTGGAAAATACCGTGTGCAGGCAGGAGATGGAGTGGGATCTGCCCCTGAAACTGTGGTGATGGGGTGAAGTGCCACTGGGAGCAGGGCATGGCCCTGGCTGGTGTAGCCAGCACTGAAATCCCACACTGGGATTGAGTGAGAACCAGCAGAGGAGGAGATGGGCACCAGTCAGGGAGGGTTTTTAGGCCAATCTCAAAAACCAGAGCATAAGGGTTATGAGGAGAGACAGAACTTACCTGTGGAGATGCTGGAGGATGATAAAACCCAGAGTGTTCACATGTGTGCACTTAAGTAAATCCAATTCTCAGAAGCATTTGGAATCAGAACTTTAAACTTCTTTTGAGATTAATGGTGGTTTGGCCTCTACATACCTTTGCAAAGCAAATTTTTATTATGTCTTGTCCACAGCTCCTCGTGCCATGAATCAACCTTCCCTCTTCCCCTCCCTCTCTAATTCTGCTTTTAATCAGCTGTTTATGATCACACACCGACATCCTCTGTGATTTACCCAAGGTAGTTTTGCTGCTTCACCTTTCCTTTTCACACTGTGAATTATTCATGTCTCTGTACCTGCCGTGGAGCAGGAGAAGCCTCTTTGATCAGGTATTTCATCCTCTGTCTGCAGCACATCCTTGGGCAGCTGCACAGCAAAGGGGTGATGATCACACCGCTGGGTTTAAGGGAATAAAACGGGATTGGAAAGATATTGTCGTGCCTGAATTGTCAGGCTGCAGTTTAGTTTATGCACTTAAGTGAAAAAGAAGGGGAAGAAAAGGTTATTTAATGAGAAACAAGTAAAGCTGAGCAGAGACATTCCCAGTTGGCAGTGGAGGGTGAACACAGGTTGTGCTGGATGTTCTTCCCCAGCATGGGCAGAGGAGGGGAGATCTGTAATGATGGAAAAAGTCCTAACAGGGGCCTGCGTGATGTCCTCCATGGGAAGCACAGAGGGTTTGTGGGGTAGTGGATGGACCACACTCCCCCTCCTCTGTGCTGTTTGGGGGCTCGGGGTCCCCCCATGGCACAGCCCATGGGGTTGGTGCTCCTGTCCTGAGCCCACTGGGGATTCCTGAGCTTGAGGAGGGAGGCAGGAGCTCGGATTATTTCTCTCTTTACATTATACTTAGGAAAAACATTCAGTGTTCAACTGTAGACATAAAACTAAATGACTCCTGCAGTGCACAGGGACTGTCAGGACTCTCCTTTGTTATTTTATTTTCCTTTTTTTTTAATTTTTTTTTATTTCCATCTTCTTTTCTATGTGCTGACTGTTCCAAACGTTGTGTTTCCCATGTGAATGCCTTAGGAGCTGCCTGCTGCAGAAGCTCACCCACGTGTGCAGCAAAAGCTGCAGCACCCAAGACTGTCCCTGGGGCTCTGGGGATGCTGTGAGGTAGCTTTTCACAGCTGCAAAAAAGAGATGGAAGAAGAGATGGAAGAAGAGATTGCCTGGGGCATTTGCAGTGTCTCCTCCAGGAGGGTGTGTGAGGTTCAAAGAGGACTGAGAGTGGCTGTTGCTGTGGGAGAGCTGCCCACACCAGCCCCTCCCTGCTCTGGGCTTCATCCTCAGCTTCATTTACTAACGAGCAGGGCAGGGGAAGCAGAGACAAAAGCAGTTACACCGTGTTGTACCTTCCCGTGCGTCAAACCAGAGCTCCTGGAGCGTGATTAGGGTCTCTCTCCTGTTTTAGTTTGCTTAAATCTCCCAACTGACACTCATATATTTCCTGTGAGGGTGGTGGGGCCCTGGCACAGGTTGCCCAGAGAAGCTGTGGCTGCCCCATCCCTGGAAGTGTCCAAGGCCAGGTTGGACAGGTCCCCGTGTTACCCCTCCAGTGTCCCAGACCTTTCTGAGCACACTCCTGGGAAGCCCTTCCCCTTTCCAAAGGCCAGGCAGGAGAAGGCAGAGGTGGACATTGTAAAGCTTTGATTCCTGATTACCAGATACCGAGGGAAGGAAGATGAATTTAGAGCCCTCTTTGATATGTATTAGCTGCTCCCTACTCCTGGCTCCTTTAATGTGGAAATTAATTGCTCTGGTTTATAAATCTTCTTTTTCTCTTCCCATAAAAACTGAGTAAGTAATCATCTGAGCAAAATGACATGGATGTAAGTTTTTATTATTCTGAAATATTCCAGGTGACGCAGAGTCAAATATGTGTTTTAAGAGGATGAGAAGACAAAAAGCCCTCCACAATTAAGAAAATAACATATTTTTTAATATGTCTTACTGTGAATACTTTTTTTTCTGATTGTTGGGTCTGTGTCTCATACCTGCTACCTTTTTGCCTTTCCCTGGGGTCCCTTAAGGCCTCTCTGTTCTGGAAACATTTTGTAGCAGCAGAAACTTCTGGTGTTTAGGATTTCAGGATGGAGACAAGAGTCTGGAAAGGAGAGGAAAGTGTTCTTGTACTGCTTCCAGTGGAAATGCAATCCAGCATTTATTGGTGGTTCCTATGGAGATTATCCTGGAGCACAGGAAGGTCACACCAGGATCTCTGGGCTGGGAGGAGAGGGGGTGGCCAGCCCCAAACCCCACAGGGGAGAGGGCTACTGTTCCCAGGGGGCTTGTGGTCCCCAGGGAGAAAAGGATCATCGAATCAGGGAATTATTTCTGTTGGAAAAACCCTCTGAGATTGAGCCCAACCATTAACCAAACACCACCAAGCCCCCCACAAACCCATGTCCCTCAGGATGTCCCATGAGAAACAGCTGTGGGTTCGGGGAGAGCAGGGCACAAAGCTCAGTGCAGTAAAAGCCTCTTTCTAAGGTCTGTGAATGATTCCCAATAAGAGGTGGCATTTGGAAGGTGTGTGAGTGAATAAAGGGCTGAGTGAGAAGGAGGAGGTGGAGAGAGGGGGCTCAGAGCTGTAGGGAGTGGTTTGTTTTTTGTTCACTAGTTTTGGCTTGTTGCGAGTTCATTTAATATTAAATAAAATGCTTTCTCCCCACAGATCATGGCAAAGAATCAAGCAGATCCTCCTGCCCCCCGACCCTGATCCTGCACACGGACAGGAAGAGTGTCCCTGTGGACAGTGACAGCGACAAGGTCTGTGCTGGAGCTTCTTAAAAACCTCTTTAAACCACTGAACTGCACAAACTGGAGTCAGGGTGTGGGGCTGTGCTGGCGACACACAATCATTTCCTGCAGCTGATTTTGAAGAGCCGTGGTCTTAATTTACCTTGGTGTTTTGTAGGAGCTCTGAGTGTCAGAGTGTTAGGAGAGAGACCCTTGCAGCTGGTTTGCTCCCCATGAATGGTTTGTGTTGGAAGGGACTTTAAAGCCCATCCAGTTCTACCCCCTGCCATAGGCAGGGACCCCTTCCCCTATCCCAGGTTGCTCCAAGCCCCGTCCAACCTGGCCTTGGACACTTCCAGAGATGGGGCAGCCACAGCTTCTCTGAGCAACCTGTGCCAGGGCCTCCCCACCCTCACAGCCAACAATTCCTTCCCAATATCTCATCTATCCCTGCCCTCTGACAGTGGAAGCCATTCCTCTTTGTCTTGTCCCTCCAGACCCTTGCCCAAAGTCCCTCTCCAGCTCTCTTGGAGCCCCTTTAGGCTCTAGAAGGGGCTCTCAGTTCTCCCTGGAGCCTTCTCTTCTCCAGGTGAACACCCCCAGCTCTCCTAACCTGTCTCCAGAGCAGAGGGACTCCAGCCCTCAGAGCATCTCTGCAGCCCCCTCTGGACTCACTCCAGCAGCTCCAAATATTTCTGTGCCATTTGATGGGGGCAAGAGTGCAGCTGGGTCCCCTCCACCCCCTGTTGTTTTGCCTTTTGGAAGTCAGGAAGCAGGAGCAGCACGATGGCCACAAGGAGCTGGGCCCTTTGGGGCACCTGGGGCTCCCTGGGCTCATTCTCTCCTTGTTAGTGCCATACACAGAGTAATCCCTGCTCTCCCAGGGGAGCCATTGGCATGGACAGGAGCACATTGGCTGCTTTTTCATTTATACTGCTGGAAGTGGGGTGACATTTTTATCATTCCCGTTTATCTGGGCTATTCCCGAGGCAGCCGGTTCTTCATAAAGCCACTCGTGGGATAATGGCCCTAAGGGGAATCCACTCCAGGTTAAAGGGGTGATTTGTACAGCAGTAACAGTCCTTGCACAGGCTTTATTTGTTAACTCATCTCTGTCTGCCTTTCCAGGGTCATTCCTTTAAACTGGTGGCTGAGGGTGACAGCGCAGCCAATGGCAATAAGCCCGTGGCCTCCACCCCCGTGCCGGGGTCACCATGGTGAGCAGAGGGAAGGGTCAGAGTGATAGAGGCTGTTCCTCAGTGCCATTCCCTTCCCAAACATTGTGTTAGTGGGAAAGACAAAACTCCCATGGGCTGTCTTTCTGGCTGAAGGCACAGCTGGGTTTGTGCAATCACTTTGGTGGGATGTCTTACCTGTGGTGCACAGGGTGTGTGTCAGATTATTTTCATACTCTGCAGTGGTGGAGCACTTCTCCAGTTTGGACTCTTTTACCCAGACCAGACCATTTTTTAACCGGCTTTATTCCCTACTTTTAATAACAATTAAGCAGCTGAGCGTCTAATTATAAGATTTGTTTCTTCCAGATATTTATGCTTCAGAGACACAAACATTTCCCTCCTATCAGTGTGTGTGTGTAAGCCAGTGTTTGTTAGTTCTCATTGTGATTCAGAAAGCGCCAGCTTGAGATGGAAATTCTGTTTGTTTATTTACATATAAATTTAGGGAAGTACAGCTCCCGGATTTCGAATGTCTATTAAGGATGGTGCAATACTTATTTTCATATTGTCTTGGCTGATTCCAAATGAATGTCAGGACAAAGAGCTGAACTGCTGCCGTGCATCTCTTACCTGGCCAAGGCCTGAGACTGCGCTTGGTCACACCTGTCAGATTTGAAACAGCCCTAAAAAATCAACCTGAAGCTTTGGGGCAGTGATGAGTAGTGGAGGGACCTGTCCAGTTGGGAAGAACTGTCCAGAGCAGGTGGGAGCTGGCTGGGATGCCTTTGGGATACCAAGAGGATGGCCCAGGAATGCTGTGATTGCACCTCCTCGCACCAGCACAGTGGAAAAGGCTCCCACGGCCACCTGCCAGCAGTGAGCAGAGCCCTGGCCTGTGGCATCAAGGTTATGTCCTTGTCCCTGTCCCATGGTTGAGGCTCCTGCCACTGCTGCTCTCAGCCATGGCTTTGGGTCAGGAAACCTCTTTTCCTGGGGCTGCTCTTGCTGTGGGCACACAGTGAGCTTGCTTCTTTCTCCCTTCTGGGATAGGATTTCCCCTACTGCTTCTTGGAGAGGTGGTGTGTGCTCTTTCAACCATTTCTGTGATGCTGTGTTGGTAAGGAGAGAGATGGTGTTGGGGTGAGCTGGCAGGGCACAGGCAGAGGGCAGTCCCGGCGGGTGTCACCAGGCATGGCCATGCAGATGCGATACCCAGCTGGGGGGGAATGTTTTGCTCGTGGGTGTGTCTGACCTGGTCTAAAGCCGGTTTATCTCCTGGCACAGGTGTGTGGTGTGGACTGGAGATGACAGGGTGTTCTTCTTCAACCCCTCCATGCAGCTCTCGGTGTGGGAGAAGCCGCTGGACCTGCGGCACCGCGGGGACATCAACCGGCTGCTCGAGGACCCCCCGCACAAGCGCAAGCTGGAGGCTGCTCCAGGTAACTCATTCCGGGATTATTGGCCTCTAAACTCCCGTGTCCAGGGAAGCCTGGGCGCTGAACGTGCTTGGTGGAGGCTTGGTAGCCATAATCAGAGCGGGTTTCCTTTGGAGATTCAATGTGAAGTATTGCAGGAAAATTGCTGTTTATTGCAGAATCCTTGTTTTCACTGGAATGCTGAGCTGGGGACTGAGTGTTCTCATTACTGGCAGGGAAGGAGCAGGTGGCTCCTTATATGAGATGAATCTTTGAGGTATAAAATACATCTCAGAAGACTCTGTCTGTGTGTTTTATTGCCCTGAGTTCCAAGATGTACGTTAGGAGAGGATTACCAACACATCACTCAGCTCCTGCACTGAGGCAGATACTCCAGAGCTAATGATTATCCAACCGACTTGTAGAGGGGGGAAAATCCCAGGAGGAAATCTCTGAATGCTGAAGGGTTTGGTGGAAAGGCGGGTGCTGCCATCTAACCGTGGCTCTGCCAGGCACCTTCTGATCACCTGGGAGTCCTGAAGGGAGGGTTTTCCCAGCTGGACTTTCCAATCCCATGCTCCAGCTTCTTTCCTGCTCTCCATACCTTATTTGCTCCATCCAGGTGTTGTCATACTGCTGCCAGTCCAGGAGCAGCCCAGTGTGCCAGCCTGTGCTTGCTGTTTCCATGGTGGCTCCATAGCTTGTTCCACCACATTTCTCTCCAAAGATTGCTTCACCAATTTAATGGACTCCCTCTTCCTGGGAGTTGTTCCTTCCCATGGCAGTGGTCCTTTTATTTCCTGAGGCTTCACATTGGCTTTATTGGAAGCAGGGTCCATAAGACCTGCCCTTACTGGGGGGGGGGACACTGAGTCATGGCAGTCACTGGAAAAGCTCCTGGTCTTGATTAGCTGCTTGGAATTCCCTAATGTTCTATGTTTTTTGGGAGAAGGAATAGTCATTATCCCTCAGTTGCTGGTTGTTCTTTAGTGGTGAGACCTAGAAAGATGGAGGGGGGAAAAGTGAGACTTTAGTAATTGTTTTAAAGTGTAGTTTTTATAACTAAAGTAGGGTGGCGCTGCCAGTCTGATGAGGGGACCTGCCTGGTCCCCTCAGCCCAGCAGGGCTGGGTGTTGGCTTTGAACCAGGGCCACAGCTCCCAATTAACCCCTGTGTCTGCAGGGGGTGAAAGGGAGTGATAACCAGGATTTGTGTCAGCAGTATGAGCAGGAAAACAGCCACAAAGGCTGTTTTCTGTTGGTGTGTCCTTATCAACAAAGGGTGTAATTACATTTTTCAATATCAATTTCAATCTGCAGATGCCTGTATATGTATTTATATAAAGTTTTGTATATGACTTGAAGAACTTCAGCAGATACACTTTGGAATTACAGCTAAAATTCATTCTTTAGGAGAAAAAGATAGCATATGCTTTTTATTATTGATTCCTGACAAGGAGGAACAATGGCCAGAGACAAAACTGAGGGTCATTGTTCATGGTCTATATCATCATTCATGGTCTGTAATTAATTAACAGGAGGGTCTGAAGTCATGGTTGGTACATCCCACTTCAAAAGTCTGTTTTTGCTGTGTGATCCATCCTTTTCATTTATTATCTCTATGTCCCACGAAGACTTGACTCATGCACCAGTGTTTTTATGGCCATGATTTTCATTGTTGCTAATTGTCCTAATATTCCTTGATATAATTGGGCCTTACTTGATGCTTGAGCCAGGCTGGTTATAATTAGTATATATTGGCTGCTGAGGTGAAAGGGATTATTTGTTCCCACTTCTCTTACATTGTAATCTGGAGTAAATAAATAACACAAATGAGCTGTGCATTCCCAACAATGGTTCCCAAATTTATTGAGCTGAGTGGCTGCTGCTGAGTTTTAATTAGAGCCTTCAGATCAAAGGCATGGAAAACAAGTTGTCAAGTGAAGTTGTTCACGGGGTGCTCTGGGTTATCTCTGCTGAAAGATCAAGTGCATTTGTAATTTGGGCATAAATGAAAAATTACTCATTTATCAGTTACTCCACCTACCCCAAGTGTTTGTTCTCATGGACGTGGCTCCTCACTGATGGTTCCCATCAGGCCATCCCGTGGGATTGGAGAGGAGGGGCAGCTCCTTCTGTGCCCCAGAGCAAATGGATCTTTTTTTATCTCCTCCTCTTCCTTCAGCTCCTCCTGTGGTTTGTCTGGCTGTTCAGGCTGAGGAAATTTTTTCAGCTAATTAGAAGAAAATGGACATTATAGGATCATGCAATCACAGGATGGCCTGGGTTGGAAGGGGACCTTAAAGCTCATCTCATTCCACCCCCTGCCATGGGCAGGGACACCTTCCACTATCCCAGGTTGCTCCAAGCCCTGTCCAACCTGGCCTTGAATATAGTTGGCAGAATCTACCAGTGATGGTTCCATTTACTCAATTCCAACAAATATTTTGGACCCTTTCACGTTCAGACAAAAATCTGAAGCCTGTCCCTATCACAGAGGAGCTCCTGGGCTGACAGGAAACTCCAAAACTGCAAATCAGAGTTTTGCATGGGAGCAAGGGATTGACAAGGGCCTGGTAAATGCTGGTGTTTCCTCTTTGTGCTGGAAAATGAACCAGAATTCCTGACAAGGCTGGGATTAGCCGAGAGATTTAATTAATCAGCACTAAGCTCAACAGACCAACAGACTGGGGCAGTGCTCGGCTTTGTGAGTCTGTGGAAGGATCCCTGTCAAGGGATGTTCTTCCTCAAAGCTTTACATCAATTACTGCATTTTGTGCTTGGTTGCCTCTTCCCTGCACAGTGGGTTTGCAACTCACAGAGGTCCAGGGGTGTGATGTGATTCAGTGGATTCCTGAGTGAGAGCACAGACACCATTTGTCGTGTTTTCCTGAGTTTTCCATTGCACTGAGGTGTCAGTAATGTATTGCCTGGAATTCTGTCCCATTTGTCCTGGCAGTCAGTCATGTGGCAAAGTGAAAAGGATTTGGTCTGTCCTTGCTCTCTGGGGGGGAACCTGAGGTGTGATAGGAATGGTCAGATGGAATCAAACTCTGAAGCTGGGATGTTTTGTGTCGGAGTTCCTTTACCTGAGGACTCAGTGGTAGCTAAGATTGGGGTTTATTACCCGGTTCACAGATTCTTCATGGTAAAACTTTAAAATGCTACCTCCCTTTCAGAGAGCTGTGAGAGATCTTGTCATAAAATGATTTAAAACGTGAGTTCTTCTTGAAGTATCTGGAGAAATTGACATAATTTGTCATCACCAGGGGGTTTCTCTTGTCCTGTGGAAATGTGGAATGGGAAAGGCTCTGCTGCCTTGGTTGGACTCCCCCCCACTTGTTTTACTAAAAGAACATCCCATCAGGGTTCAGAGTGTGTGACCTTCCCACAACATCCTTGAGCCAGCTCTGGAAGGGCTCCCATGGCAGGTGACAAGTGCAGGAGGGGGATTTTCCTTTTCTTTCATAGAATCACAGAATTACTGAGGTTGGAAAAGCCCTCTGGGACCAGTGAGTCCAACCATTCCCCCAGCACTGCCAAGGCCAGCACTGACCCACGTCCCTAAATTTGGTAGGAACAGGATTGTCCTTGCCCAGTCACCCAGCTCTTCTGGAAAGCACCACCAAATAGTCTCATTTCATATTCTTATCCTCAGAATTCATTAAATTAACACTACTGCTGCCTTTGCAGGATGTCCAGCTCCTGATTAATAGCTCTATAATCTCTCTGTTGTGTTACATTCCACCTTCTGACTTCACAGGTTGGTTTTCCTATTTGTTTGTGTTCTTAATTGGGTTTTAATTCTTCTTTCAAAGAAGAATTTATTGAGAAGAGGTAATTTATGACCTAATAATTTTATGTTTATTTAAAACATTATTCAATTCACTTATGTTGTCATAATGCTAATTTGTTGTCAGGAATGTTGAGATCAATCTCTCCTTATTTTGGAATTCCATCCCTTTCTCCTTATTATCCTTTAGGGTTTTAAATAGAGTGTCCTTTGGCGCCTGTCATGTTTTTCCTCCTCATGGGGTCCCTGCTCCTGATCTTTTCATGCCGCAAAGTCACAGCTGCTCTTTGCTTTTTATTGTTCCTTTGAGCACTGAATTTAAATAGAAATTAACATTTGCTGGAAGAACACAAATAAACATGTAATTTCCTTCAAATAGGGAACCAAACTGAGCTCAGAGCAAGACTCTTAAATTGAAACCAGAAATAAATGACCAAATTTCTGTTTCCTTCACTGGTACAAAGACTGGACCCATTTTCCAGCAGAATTCTCGTAGTTCTATGGGGTTTCAGTGAGCTCAGATCCTACCATTTCAAGTTATTCAAACCTTTCCTCTCCATAACCTCAGTTCAATTTTATATTTGCCTTTAATTTATTTTTTTTTTGTAGTTTTCTAAAGAGCAAGACAAGTTCATTACCAGGCTAATCCAAAAGGGCTGAGGTTGGTGGTTCTGATATTCCCAAGTGAACCCCTTGCAGTCTGATATTTATATTTCTCAGCCAACGTGTTTGGGATGGAAGAGTCGCAGCACAAACCAAGCACTGGATGGTCGTGGCTCCTGGTGCTCTGTCCAGTGGAATTTGGATGAAAACTGCAGCCTATGTGGATGAAAAGAAAATATTTCAGAAGTAAACATGTGCTTTATGAGTGAAAATCCAACCCTCGAGTCCTTCAAGGACGTGTGTCCAGCTCAGTCCAGAGGAGTGATGTTGCCTTGGAGTTATTCCCAACATCAGGAGTGTGGAGGCTGTTGGTGTCTCCACAGCCTTGCCACACTGGTGCTTGTATTCCTGGGAAAGCAGGGGTATATTTCTTTATATAAGACAGAAAAATGGGCTAAGGGGAGATGTTCTGGGGGACTTCCCTCTAGTGAATCCCTCAGGCTGCCAGCACGGAAATGATTTTGCAGGAATGTCTTTGCAGTTGCATTTTTAAGGGAAGGGAGGAGGGAGGATCAGGTGAAACGATAACAAGATTGAAACCAATAGTGTCACGAATGAAAAATGAGTGATTTTGCTGAATGAAAATGATCAGTTTATTGCTCTCCCTTCCCTTTGGATGAAGCAATTCCGGGGATCTGATAAAATATGTAGTATTTTCTTAAAACAACTCTGTGGGGAGTGAAAACCACTAAATACCTGAGCAGCAAAGACAAGGAGTGAAAGGTCAACGGGAGGAACTTGTATTCCCATCTCTCTGGTTCCAATCTAATAATGATTTCTTTCTTTTTAGCAGACAAGTGTGTTAGTTCTTGCCCAGGGGATGAAAACGATGATCTCAACATCAAAACTAAGAGAAATAAGTAAGTTCTGAAGTTTGCTTGTCTGTGTGTAATGGTGGGAAGGGAATGTTTGGTAGGAAGGAGGGCAAAGAAAACACAGTTTTTCTGTGTGGATAACTGCACCACTAAGTTATAGGAGTCATTCTGTGGGTATCCAGTCCTCATCAGACTCCAGGTTGCTCTGCAATCTCTGTTTCCCATGGACATCATCCATTTTTGTCTGAGTAGCTTTTCCTTTGAAATGGTTAAACAAAAGACTGCAAGGATGTTTCAAGTTATTTCAAAGACGTTGGATAAAAGCTTTGTCTTTATTGAAGGGAAACAGAGTTTGTTCCCCTGGTCTTAGGTTTCCAGGCTCAGAAGTAGCCTGAGGTGTTGCTGTTATTGACCTTTATTACCATTTGTGCTTCAAATTCTCATGAAAAAACAATTGAAGAAGCAATTTTGAGACATTCAGGCTTCCAAGATCCATGGCCTGTGTCCTTCTGAGCAGGCAGTCATGGAGTTTGGTGTGCAGATTGTTGTATATTTGCTAAATTAAATTTTTTATTGTCTTTTTTTTGGCATAAGAAAAAAAAAATCAGTGTGATTTACAGCATCATTTTCACTTGTGTGAGGGCTGAAGGACAGAGGAGCTGTCCTGGTGCTTGGCTGGGGGAGCAGTGGGATGTGCTTCCCTCAGTTCTGGCTGGACAAAGCTCTTTGTGTGTAGTAGAAATTGGATTGGGCCTTTCATGGGTGATGTCACCAAATGAAATTTGCTATTTTGATATCACACTCGTTGCCATTCTGTGGAGGGCACCAGTGTGGTCCCTCTCAGCTCACTGGTGATGCAGCACCGTTTTGGGATGAATGTCAAGTGGAATGTAATTGTTTGTAGGAGGATAATGGGCCAGAGCTCAAGTTACACAATGATCAAATTCCTCTGATTGGAAGTAAACCAAATTGTTCTCTTGTTGAAATTTCAAACTGAGTAATATCCTGTAGTGGTGAAAGTTGCATCAGTAGAAAATGCAGTCATGTTTAGTAGGAGGCTAAAAATCAAATCACCTTCCTTGAATTACCCTCACTTGAACCTTGTGATGGTTTAAAGCTTCCTGGTCTTTCCAGAAAGAGCCTGAATTTGTGCTGAACTTAAATTGAGTCATAGAACAGGTTGGGTTGGAAGGGACCTTAAAGCCCACCCAGTCCCACCCCTGCTGTGGGCAGGGACACCTTCCACTCTCCCAGGTTGCTCCCAGCCCCGTCCAACCTGGTCTTGGACACTTCCAGGGATGGGGCAGCCACAGCTTCTCTGGGCAACCTGTGCCAGGGCCTCACCATCCTCACAGCCAACAATTCCTTCCCAGTATCCCATCTAACCTTGCCCTCTGGCACTGGGAAGCCTTTCTCCCTTGTCCTGTTCCTCCAGGACCTTGTCCCAAGTCCGTCTCCAGCTCTCCTGGAGCCCCTTTAGGCTCTAGAAGGGGCTCTAAGGTCTCCCTGGAGCCTTCTCTTCTCCAGGTGAACACCCTCAGCTCTCCTAACCTGTCTCCAGAGCAGAGGGGCTCCAGCCCTTAGAGCATCTCTGTGGTCTCTCTAGAATTGCTCCAGCAGCTCCACATCCTTTTTTTTTTTTTGAGGATCCCGGGTTGGATGCTCCAGGAGGGGATATTTATCCTGTGTGAAACAGCTGATGACACTGGTTATGATGGGCTGCACCTGAGGGGACCATCACTCTCATGGTGCTGTGACTTTACGGTTGAAACTTGAAGATCCTGGAGGTCTTTTCCAACTGTAATGATTCCGTGATTCCATGATAAAATATCCCTCCCAGCAATGAACCCCCCACGGTCTTGCCCCCCTGCTTTATCCAGGGGTATTGTGGACAAAGGCACTCAGACAGTGTGTAGGAAGTGATTTCTCAGGAACACCTATCTATTCCAATCAGATGCAATCCTGGAAAAGGCTGCCAAAATAAACACAGACCCTCTGGCAAGTTTTGTGAACTCAGGGTGTTCCTGGATTACTTCCTTTAGGAATGAGCTCCTGGGGTGCACAGGAACATAAAATAAAGATGAGTATTGACTGTCAAGTTAGAGGCCACAAAAACAGGTGGAAAAAAAATAAACCAAGATGAGTCTTTTCAGTCCTTCAAAGTCTGTGCTCCTTGGCAAGGTTTATTTAAAGCTGTCACTTTGCTGTAGCTGGAATTATCATGTAATGTTTGGCTGCTGAGTCCCTCTGATGTCCCTGATGGACCATCCTTCCACATAAGGAGCTGCCAGAGGTCCCTCACAGGTCCCACAAAGCCCAGGGTTTAATAACCAGCTGCAGGTTGGGGGAACTTCTCATCCATCAGCGTCCGCTCCCGGATCCTCAAGGATGTTCTGGGGAGGATTAAAATCCCCTCCCGGGCTCACAATTGCTGAACTCTTTTCTATCTTGCCTTGTTAAAGAACAGAAGATTCCCAAGCTGCTGGCCTGGAGAGGGCTGGAGTGGAGGAGAGGAATGAGGAGACATCTGCCCCCCAGATCACCCCTCCCCTGGAGGAGAGGATCACCCACTTCCGAGACATGCTGCTGGAGAGGGGGGTAAGGAACTGCTCCATTCCTGACATCCCATCTCTCAGCCAGGGCACCAGCCAGGACGATGCAGAAGTCATTTCATGGCTATGGCTCAGCAGCCAAGTGGAGAATTGGTGAGAGGGAGTTTCTCTCCACGACCCTGTTGGTTTGGGACACTTTCTGTGCCTTTTCTCCCACTGCCAAACGCTGCCATGCAGGACTGAAGCCCTTCCCAAAGAAATTCCTGGAGACAGACCCAGAGATAACCAGGGGCAGCAGCTCTTCCAGCACAGGGCAGTGGCTCAGCAGATCATGGAGGACTGTGGCCATGCACCATCCCAAAGAGCAAATGATGTGTCTTGTACATCACCTGGAAGGCTTGTCCTGGCAAGGGCTTTTGCTTTATTTTATTTTATATTTGCTTTATTTGCTTTATTTTTTGTGATTTATTCATCACCACAAATTCCAGTGATTCCAGCAGAGTTTGGAAGCTAAATTCACTTACTGGCCATCCAAAATAATAGAATCATGGAATCACAGAGTGGTTTGCGTGGGAAGGGACATAAAGCTCATCCAGTCCCACCCCTTCCACTATCCCAGATTGCTCCAAGCCCTGTCCAACATGGCCTTGGACACTTCCAGGGATGGGGCAGCCACAGCTTCTCTGGGCAACCTGTGCCAGGGCCTCACAGGGAAGAATTCCTTCCCAATATCCCATCTAACCCACCCTCTGGCAGTGTAAAGCCATTAATGCTTATCCAGATCCCTAGAAAAGGATGTTCTGGAGATGTTCCAGCTGAGGCTGAGCTGCAGGAACACCGGATGCTCAGGGCTGAACAGGGACAAGGAGGGTTTATAATGAGCAGTGTGTGCAGTTTTCCTCCCTCCCTCTAACCCTCTGCAATCTGTGTTCTCTAAAGATAACTCAATATGTGTTCTATAAAGATAATGTCATTTCTGTAACAAAATAAAACCCAAGGTGTCTGTTGTTAGGCAGTAAAGCCTATAAAATTTATCCTTGGTAATCAGCAGCTTTAAAGGTGCATAATTAGAGCTTCAGCAGCTCAGCAGTAAATTATCTCCACGCCAGCCCTGCTTTATTAATGCATTTTGTTATTTATGCATAAAAATGCAGAAGGGCCATAAATGAACCCTGGTCGAGACTTCTACTGGCACAGTTTAAGTTGGGGGTTAATAAGGCGATATTTGGAAGTATTAGGGATGTTCTAAGGAATAGAATCCTCAAGTGTTTCTGTGTGAGAGCCAGATTTGCTCATAAAACTAAGAAATTTGGGAATTTTTACAGTTTTGCATTGCTATGATTTGAAAATGCGGAGATAAGGGGGGATTTGGCTTTTGCCCTGAGCATTTTTTAAATGTCCAGATGAGCCCTGGGTCAGCACCAGCTGCTTGGCATCACTTCAGACACAGGGAGTGCATTAGTGCTGCTTTAATCTGATTATTTAATGGCCATCTCCTGCCATTTTCTCCTCATGCTGTTGTTTCTCAAGGAGTTACTTGATGGCATTACAAAAGCTGAACCAGATGGAGTTTGCCAGGGTAGTTCTGCATCTTCCTACATAAATTATGTCAACAGAAGAATATTTATTGTAACATTTCAAAAATAGAGGGAATTTTTGGTGCTGCTCCAAGACAAAGGCACTATCTATTCTGAAGTCTGGGGCAAGTTTTTCTGTGTAAAAATATAATCTCTGATACCCTCTTGGAAGTTTAAAAGTTTATGCGAAATCCTGAGAAAACTGAAGCTTCTTTCTGGCTTCCTCCCAGCCCCAGCATCAAAACATCCACGTTCTACAGCATTCCTAGGAAAGCCTTCTCCTTGCTGGGATTCTGGCAGCAAAACAAGGCTTTTCAGAGGGTTCCATGCAGTATTTTTTCCTCAAGATTTTACCTTCCTAATCCTGGGGAGAAAGGTGGGGGGTTTGGGTGTCCTAAACCCCACCTTCCCATCTCAAAGTCTGAGTTTAACTGGCTTTGAGTTCGAAGTGGGTTTTGTGCTGGGAACAAATCCAGTGTCTAAGAGAGTATAAAAGATACCCCCAAAAGGGGATTTCTGCTGCTCAACCTTTTGAAGGGGGAACCCCCAAATCTCAGGGCATGGTGGGCACAGGGAGGGGACCTCAGAAAAGGAGATGTTGGGAGGAGATGGCCTTCCATCCCCAAAAGGAGCTTGAACTTTGAATATTCCAATCTCTGACCACTCTTAAGAGGAAAATAAGTCCGTTTCAACCCACTTTGCTTCATCAAACCTTTCCTGTTTGAGTGTTAATTGCTCTATGTAATTATACTTCACATACTTAGTTTTTTTAGAGAGTTTACTCTGCTTTGTAATTAGATGGAGTGATTAGAATATTTTATGTTCCTCCAGATTGTTCTGTAGCAAATAATTCCCAAAGTCCTGAAATAGTGGAAGGTGTCCCTGCCAATGGCAGTGGGTGGAACTGGATGAGCTTTAAGGTCCCCTCCAACCCAAACCATTCCGTGATTCCACGACTTTGTGAAGATGGAAGAACCTCTGTAGGATGTGATCTCCTCATCTCCTGTAGCTGCAGGGATGTGGTGCTTTGAAGATGTTCACTGGTGGTTCCTCAGTCTGTGCCTCAGTTGGGTCTTAATTTCAGTTTTGGAGTTAAAGCTGAGATAATTCCTTCGGTGGAATTGATTTTTCTGTTCTTCAAGCAGGATCATAAAATGGAATTTTCCTTTCTGCTACAGATTCTTTCCACCAAAAATATGGAAGGAGCATCTCCCAGCTCCTCATTGAGATATCCTAAAGGAAATCAGTGGTGTGGGGGTGACCAGAGCGTTGCCAAAATCATTAAAATTCCCCTTCCAGTCGCTCTGAGATGTCCTCCCGAGGGCTCGTTAGCTCCTCTTTGGCTTTACCTTGGAACATTTGCTTCTTCCACATCCTTATTAAAATTCCTTAGTGCAGCTCTTGGTGTGCTTTGCAGGTTTCAGCATTTTCTACGTGGGAGAAAGAATTACACAAAATAGTGTTTGACCCCCGGTACCTCCTGCTGAACTCAGAGGAGCGAAAGCAGGTGAGTGTTCCCCTGGCCAGGCTCCTGACTGGCCTCAAACATCTCCCAAATTAACCAGGATACCAGAGGAATTACCTTGGGAGGGTAAAAATTGCATAAAATTATTATTTCTTTGTGGAAACTCCTGGTTTAGGCTCAGCTCATTGGGATGTGATGCTCCTCAGGCATAGGTTGGGATTGTCGGGGTGTCCTGTGCAGGGCCAGGAGTTGGACTTGGATGTTCCTTGTGGGTGCTTTCCAACTTAGGATATTCCATGTTTTTAAGTGTTGTCTCCTTGAAGAAGCAAGTGGCACAGAGAGGTCTGAACACAAGACAAGCTCCAGTCTCTTGGGTTGTAGGAACAACTCCTGAGCCTGGGAAACTGGGCTGGAGAGAAGGAAATGGCCATAAGGTAACGTTCCTACCCTGAATTATTTAAATATTGAAGAGAGACTACTTCATTTTTATTATTTAGTACGTTTTCTATGAGTTTGGCAGGATTTACTGCTGGATTTGGAAATAAATGGGCACAGCCCTGTGTTGTGCTGGTGCCTGTTTTACAGTTTTGGGTTTTCCTGGTGATGCAAAGGGATGTGGATGTTTTGCTTCCTTGATAATTTGGGTGTTAATTATCACAAGGGATCCAGAAGTCTTCAGTTTAATCTAAAAAATTTGGGAGAGATGCAAGGATGTTGCAGTGAAGGTGAGGACTTCTGTCCTGTAGTTATTGCTCTTCCTTAGAAGTCTTTTGTCATCCTGGAGAAGGAAGAATTTTGAATATGGAATTGTCCATTTTTTAAGTGAACACGATGAAAAATGGACTTTTTCCTATTCCATATTGTCCCCTGGTTCTCCAGAGAGCTTCCTGTAGATATTTACTGAGGGACTGGGCACATCCATCTTCATTTACTGACTTGGTGACTGTGGCCTCAAGAGCAACTGTTGCAGGCTTTGGGAATGGTGGAAATTCAGTGAGAGGGGAAAAGTGGCTCAAAATGAAAGGGAAGAGGGAGGGAAGGAGAGAATAAGGGAGATAGAAGGTAAAGGGATGAAGGAAGGAAGGAAAGAAAAGCAAAACCAGTGTTACCTGTTAGTTCCATTTTTTCCATCTTTACTCAACTGCATTTAGATTCCTTGGGGTTCTTTTAGTAATTCTTTCATTACCATCTTTTAATAGTTTCTCATTGCTATTCCTTCCCTTTTCCACGTTCCTCCAAAATCCCAGTTGTAGTTTGGTTACTTCAGCTTTCCTGGGATGTGGATTTGCCCCTGAGCATACTCATGGCTGGGGAGGAACTCATGGATTTCATGTCTAATGTGTGTCATTTGTGATGAGAAGGATGGCGACTATGGAAAACTCCGGGAATTTTGAGGAGCAGCTCCTTTTGTTGAACAGCTTAGTGTGTTACAGTGTTTAGAGCATGAAACCAGCCAGGGTTTGGGGATTAAAAATGGGATTAAAGTCGTTGGCAGAATTTTGTAACATAGTGAGCTCCCTAAGTCCTTTTGAAGACATCAAAAGTCCTGATGTTATGTGTCCTGCCACCTGTTTGGCTGCCAAATACTATTAGAGGAAGGTTGTTGCTCATTCCTAAGACGTTAAAGCTTTTGGGTGCGTGGAGGATCAGGTGTAAACTCATGGTGTTTGAAAGATCTTCAGGGTTTTTTCGGGATAACCTACAGAATGTTGCTGTTTGGTATAACAGACATTTTCAGGAATTCCAGCCAGCTGGGAATGAGGCAAGATTCAAACTAAAGGCCTGCAGGCAGTTGGACAGGGGCACAAAACTAGTGCTGGAGGCATGAAAATGCGAGTAAGGCACTGGAGCTGGGAGATTTTGATTTGTGTTGCATTTGATGTTTGGATGGAGATGTTATCTCTCCAAACTGTGCCTTTTCCCAGTTCCTTCCTTTGTGGGAATGCACAGTCAGTGCTGCAGGAACCCCAAGCAGATAAGAACTGCAGTCCCTGGGATTGGCAGCTCTTGGGCCAGGCCCCAGCAGCACAAAGGCTTTGTTCATAACTCTGTGTCTTATTCCCTTTCTTGGCAAGATCTTTGAGCAGTTTGTCAAGACCCGGATCAGAGAGGAGTACAAAGAGAAGAAAAACAAACTGTTGTTGGCCAAAGAAGAATTTAAAAAGCTTCTGGAAGAATCCAAGTTGTCACCAAGGTGGGCATTGCCTTTGGAGGGCTTGGGGAGATAAGATTTCTCATTTAGGCTGAGCTTATCAGCCCAGAGTGCTGGAACACTGAGCTTAACTCTTCATAACAAGCTCTTCCAATGCTGTGCTGATGTTTCTTTCCTAATATTTTACTATATTTCCTCAAAGTATTGGGAGAGGAAACGTTCCCTCTCTCCCCCTCTCATTCAGAATGTGTAATATTTTGCATAACATATTTATTTTATATTTATATGTATGCTGTGGTTGTAGAACCCACACACATACATATTAATCACATAAAATCAGTCCCTGAATGTTAAATCTCATTTATATTACACATACAGGTGGAATTAGTCATAAATTCTATTTAGGTTTGGTTTTTGATGGAAGAGAAATATAATGTAACAAATTTGCTGTTAATGCCATGCCATTAAATTAGTACAAACTGTCCCTACCTATGGCAGGGGGTTGGAACAAGATGATCTCTAAGGTCTCTCCCAACCCAAACCATTCTTTAATTCTGTTATTAACTTAGAATAAAGTGCCCCATGTGTAATTAATTTTTTTACCTTGTTTTTCGAGTGATGGTCCAAACCTAGCAAATGTATAGCAAACACAGTGCTTAGGGCAGTGCTTTTTATGTGTAAATTACATGAAAATAAGTGTTTATATCTCATAAATATATAGTTGGAAGCAAAAAATTATTGTTTTCTCTACTAAAATAGGCAGGTAATTAATTACACAGCAAAACCTGCCAAGACATGTAGATACAAACAGCATGTGGGGCTGGATGGAGATAATAATAATAATTAATATTATTATAAGAAGGATTTTGGAACAAAACTGGGAATATTCTGGGGGTAATGTAGCACTTAAAAGCTGGTTCCGGCAATGATACTTCCAGCCTGCAAGGGAAAAACTGTCCTGGCCGACAGGACAGGGAACATTTAACCTGTGAATAGTTTTGACACAGCAGGGAGGACGCTTGTTTGCCTCCAGTAGTCTCTGGCTTGGATTAGGTACACAGCGAGATAAATAAATCACAACTCTTTCCTATAAAATGAAAACATCATGCTGGGAGTGCAGCCTGAAAGGAAAATAAGGGAGAAAATGCTGCTAGGAGAGTGTAATGTAAAACATCCAGGAGTTAAAATAAAAAATCCCTTGTCACTGGTTTGTGAATGACGCGTTAGAGATTCAGCAATGCCCGTAGTGCCAACTATCACCCCATTTTTCCATAAAAAATGAACCTTAGCCGCTGCAGGGAGGTCTGTGTGTCCAAAGGTCGAGTGGTTCTGGCATTGTCCTGCTTTCCTTCACCATCACACTCCTGTCAAATATTCCCAGAACACCCCTCGTTCTTGGTGTCTGTGTGACAAACTGAGATCCAGGTCGAAGAGCCTGAGAGTGGCTTGGCCAAGTCCTGGCTCTAAAACCTCTCTGTTTCCTGCAGGACAACATTTAAGGAATTCGCGGAGAAACACGGCCGAGACCAGCGGTTCCGCCTTGTCCAGAAGAAGAAGGACCAGGAGCATTTTTTCAATCAGTTCATACTTATTCTCAAAAAGAGGGACAAAGAAAACAGGATAAGGCTACGGAAAATGAGATAAGAACTCCTGAAACTGGCAATAAAGACACGAGGGAGCCCAGGCTGTGACCGCAGGGAGGAACTTGAAGGAGAAGGAGGTCAGGGTTCAGTGTTCAACAGCACGACAATGAGTGGGTTTCCCAGGGAAAAAACTTGCTCTAAATAGAGTTTCTTGACCATCTCTGGGATTTGTGAAGGCTGTTCTGCAGGAATCTGAAGGATATTTTGTTCTCAAAGAATTAATGTTTCATATTGAAGCTCTCTTTTGTACAACATCCAGAGTTTGATGCATTTCTAATTGCCATGATATGTCAATCCCTTAATTGTTTTAATTATGCAAATTACTTGTAATATACACAAATTATGAATCCAGTGCAGGTTTATAATTAAGCAGAAGCAGATGCCATCCATAACCATCTCAAGGTATTTTCATCATTAGGGGAATTATCTCAAGCAACCTTTTGGCAACTTTCTGCATTCCCAGTGTGTGGAGGTCTGGTGGTCACAGGAATCCATTCCCCACTGCTCATACGTCTCTGTCCAGTCCTCTGAGTAGTAGTAATCAGATATTAATTGTTAATATTGGTGAAGAGTGTGAAAATCTTGGCATATGTCCCATAGGAAAACTCTCTCAGAACTTCCCACCCCCTGTGACCGGTGCTCCGGGCGGGCGAGAGCGACACTTCTCCCTCAACGTCCCCAAAACCAAGTTTTGTAAAGCCATCCCCGTCTGGGTTCTGTTACTGTCTGTGAAAAGTCTGCATGAGATTTTTCTCATCATATTTGTATAAATAAATATTTAACTTTTTTAATTAATATGTATGTTAAGCCAATTTTTAGGGGGTTTAAGTTTCCGGACTGTTTGAATAGTTCCTTTGCCAGAGCTCAAGGAATGTTTGGTGGGGTTGCTGGAGCTGTGCAGGGCCAGAAACTGGACTGGATGATCCTTGTGGGTCCCTTCCAAATCAGGATATTCTGTGTTTCTGTGAAATTATGAGTAAAATCTTGTGGTTTTCACTGGAGAGATGGAAAACCAGAGGAGTGGGAGGAGCCCCACTCAGGGTTCGTGTGCAAATTCCACTGGGATCCATCAGAGTTCTGAGGATACTGGGAGCAAAAGAGTCACTCTGGCCACACAGATAGGATTCATGGCTGGATTAAACCAGCACAGCCCTGCTGGACATCAGGGTATCTCTGCCTTTGTGCTAGTTCAAAGACACTCTCTCTGTGATCATCACTTTCTTCTCAGTTGACCTAATTTTTAAGGCATTACTCCTCAGATCCATAGATTTTTGCTTGCTTGGAATGAGGGGGATGTTTTCTCCAGCTAACAGGAATTATTCTTTATGTGTGTGCTACATATTTTTATAATTAAGGAGATAAAGGGTATTTGCTAATGCCTTGGAAAACTAACTCTGAATAATTCAAAGACTGCCAGGACAAGGGGGAATGGCTTCCCACTGCCAGGGGGCAGAGTTAGGTGGGATATTGGGAAAAAATGTTTGTCCAGGTCCTGATTTCCTCGCTTCCTGTTGGAGTCTCCCATTGCTCTGTGTCTTCCTGTGCTTGCTCCATAATTTCCCATCTGCGATGGATCTTCTGGATGTTCTTCTGCCCAGATAAGTGCCTTGGAGGAGGGTTGGATATCTTCTCTTTTTCAGTTTTGGAGTCAGAAAAGTTTGGCGCATTTAGTGGTTTTCATGGTCTCCAGTTCAACCAACAGCCCGGAAACCCCCCCAGGACACGTAGAGCAGATTTATTTATAGTTGGTTGGATCCTTGGGAAGAAGAATGAACAGGAGTTGAGCAGAGGGTACATTTCCAGAGGGAGCTCTGCTTTTGCCTCCCCTATGAACAGGACACTAGAAATTAAGGATGTTGTAATTCAAACTAAATTGAGGTGGAAGGGGCTGCCAGAGGCTGGAGCTCGTTGCATTTTGGCTTCGCATGCCAATAAAATCCAAATAATCACTTTGTTTGAGTAAGTCTGTTTGAAGAGCAATTTGTGTGTTTGCATCCTTAGCAGGATTATATTTGGCTGAAAACAAGATATAGAGGAGGAAAAATCAAAGGTGAAAATGCTTTTTTCTTTAGAAAAAGTGCAAAATACTCAGTAAATAAATTCTGATCAATGTGGGCAATATGAAGATACACAAAGGATGGTTGTTGGGAGGTTTGGATGAGTTTTTTCTCTGTTTTTTTTGGCTTCCTAACAAGGCTACAGATTTTGGGGTGAATGTTTGGCGATTCAGCAACAGTTAAAGCCATTTTGTTTCTCTCCTAAATAGTTTGTGACTCTGCTATTTCTTAACTTCTCCATATTTTGATTTCTCGGCTTGGGTTTACTTTGGTAAATATTCCTTTCATCCCATTCCCCTGGGAGCAGGTTTTTGTATTGCTGTGATCATTGTTGGGAGAGCTCATCTCGAGCCTAAATGAAGAGAAGTCAGAGCAATGAAAACAAATGATGGCAACGTTCCCAGGAGTCTCGGAATTGACTTTTCTGGATTCACAACGAGATGCTTTGGGTTTGCTTCTGTGAGCAATTCAACTTGATTTATCCCTCCAAGCACCAATGAAATCTCTATATATTGTATTTCTCCAGTCCTGGTGGAGACACCCAGTATTGGTGCCTCTCCACTTGCTTTTCCTGATGAATTCACTCCTGGCAGGTTTGCTTGGGTTGTAACCTGAGAGGTTTTCATGGTTTTCTTCCATCTCCTTGTCTTGAGGTGGTGGTTTTTAAAGCCTTTTGGAAGGAAAACAGTGCAGCAACTGGAAATGCAGAAATATTGGTTTCTCTTGGACAGGGAACTGAGTTTCACCCCTTTCAGCAGAGGGAGATCAGGAGGTGACTTGGAGTAATTTGCTATGGAAGAGTTTGTCAGAAGTTCCTCTAAGAGGGTGAACTGGGCACTCGGTGTAGCCCTAGGAATGCTTTAGAGTTTGTCAAAATTGCTGTAAATTGGACTTTATTTTCCTCAGGCATCCTGTACTGGGTATGAGGGGGGAGCTCACAACTCATTCCTGATCCACTGTATTTCCATACCAGGTTTAGCTTTGGGTAGAAAAGTGAAGGATATTTTTTGTTGGTTTTTATAAACCACAGTCAGAGAGCTGGTCCTGTCCTCTCATCTTCACTGCAGACCACTAAGCATCCCCTTCTCTTCTGGTAACAGAATTGCATAACTTGCCAATGTTTAACTCAGAGTGATTTTCAATATAAATATCACAAAGTCTTCTGCTGATTATTTTTGAGTTACCATCTGGTAAAAATAAAGGCACTGATAAAAAAAGGGCAAAAAAATCTTTGCCAAATCCCTAAACACTCTCTGAACACCTCCCCTTCTTTCTGAGCTTGTTATTTACCTGGAGAGAAACAAAAATCCTGTTCTTGGAAGTTCTTGTTCATGCCTGAGATGCAAATTTCAGGCAGGTTTTCAATGGAATTGGAGTCTCCAGTTCCACTGCACATACAAGTTTCTGAGCTGTAAGGACTGGTCTAAGCCTTTCTAAATTAATTTTTCCACATTTACCTGTTGGAATAGATTTTGCTTTGGCCATCATTGGGGTTGAACCAATGAAACCACTTTGGGGTTAACCAGACAAAATACCCAGAGCAGTTGTGGCTGCCCCATCCCTGGAAGTGTCCAAGGCCAGGTTGGAGCAACATGGTCTAGTGGAAGGTGTCTCTGCCCATGGAGGAGCTTTAAGGTCCCTTCCAACCAAACCAGTCTGGGATTCTTAAATCAGGCTTTACCCAATGAAACAAAATGTCATTTTAATACACTTCCCCTTTTTTTTCCTACTTTGAAGAGAAAACCTTTCCCTGGAATCACAGGAAAGCAGTTCTTCTGTTTGGAACAGAAGCTGAAAAACAAGAATATATTTAACTTTAAAGAGCATTTTTAATAAAGACCTTCTCCATCTGAGGAGGCTGTGATTGTAAGCACGGGAGGCTGAGACTTTCAAGGCTCGTGTTTTGTTTGTATTAAAAATAATTTTTCCCTCAGATGTGATGTTTTTCCTCCTAAAAGAATAAAATATTGATTTAATAATTCAAACCCAGTCAACTGGAGGTTGATCTGTCTGGATCTTCCACACAGATCTTACAAATTGCCACTGTATGTTTTTATTTTAAAAAAAAAGCTGCTCATGTGTTCTCAAAAAATATCCAGAGTTGTTGTGATGTTCCAAAACCAGGGGAAATCATCTTCCCTGCAACACCTGATGGGGATTTCAGAGTGAGGAGAGCTCAGGGTGGGGGAACAGGGACAAAGACATGGAGGGAGCTGTGCCAAAACTTGTCCATGGTTAAAGGAAATACGTCTGGGTGTTTTGGTGGTGGAGTCCCATCCCTGGAGGGGTTTAAAAGCCATGTGCATGTGGCACTTGGGGACATGGGTCAGTGGTGGCCTTGACAGTGCTGGGAATGGTGGTACTTGTTCTCAGAGGACTTTTCCAGCCTCGGGTATCTGTGACTCCATGATTCTAAGCAGACCTCGCTCTCAGCCCTGACAATCTCCATGTGCTGTTCTGGCCTCAAAGCAGTTGTTTAAAAGGGATGCTGTAACTTTTTTCCCTTGGGATAATTCCCATCCCAAGACCTCCAGGATGTGCTGGTTCAGGGCTGTAGGTGAGGGGGAGCTGCTCTGCACTTGCCTTTGTTTTCCTCAGGGATCTTCTCCAAGGCATTTCAGGTGGATTTCAAAGCCTCCTAGTGTTGTTCCTACATCTGTTTTACAGCAGAACATTCATTTAATTGTGAGCAGGAAAGTGCTAAAAGAAAAAGGGAAAGTGAGCCCCTGCAGAAGCCTCTTGATCCTGTGGATTTTCCAGGTCTCCCAGTGGATACCAGAACCATGCAGTGAAAAAGGAATTTTCTGGGGATCTGCTTTATCCAGGAGCATGGCCCCAGCTCTTCCCAAAGGTACCATTTGCTCCCACAGCTCTCTGAGCCTGCTCCTAAGGCAGTCCAGTGTGGAATATTGCCATTAAAAGAAGGGATTGCACTTTGCAGCAGGGCTGTGTGTCCCCCCATGCTCATCATGGGGGTCCTCTACACTGTGAATGGAGAGTTATGTGTTTGTTTTTCTCCTAAATGAAGGTTGGGAAGTGAAAAGGCAACATTTTCCTCTCAGTTTTGCTGCTCTCTTTAAGTATTCCACACTTGTCCTCTGCCAGGAGAAAAGTTTTGCCACGGGGGAGATCCTGGGGAAAAGCAAAACAAAAAAAGCTGTGAGGTTGTTTACTTTATTACCTTGGGAATTATGACACAAATTATGCAGCATGCAAAGAGAATATTGAAACGAGTTCAGGAGGGGGATTGGTGGGTTTCCATCCCAGCTCCAACTCACCCACCCCTGTGCTGGATACGAAGAGCCACCACAAACCTGGTTCATTCTCAGGGGCAGGATCCTCCCAGAACTGGTCTCACATCCCTCAGGGCTTTGGGCAGGAATTCTCTCTGCAGGAAAAACATGTGTTTCTAGCTCTGTGTCCATATTTCCAGCTGCCTTTAATCCTGGTTGTTGGGCTGGCACTGTGAGAAGGAAGGAGTTTATTTCCCCTGGCAGAGTTTCTGCTCTTTCTTGGGCTGTGTAAGTAGCTTGTGATTGTCTTTCCACGATAAACCTTCGTGGTGATAAACCCTTTGTGTTCCCCAGCTGAAGTTTGGTAGTGTTTTCTTTAATATACTTATTTTGAAGCAGCAGACAGGATGATGAGCGTTCCTGCACTGGGCTGTCTGAAGCACTCAGGGAGACAAGGCATTGTATTCCCGATCCCACCTCTTTTCTCCCAGTGCCTCTTTGATGT